TTAGGCAGTTGTCTACGTAAAAGTTCCTTTCAACTGCTGATCTGAGGGTGTCATTTGGCTTGGTATTATCTACAGCATGACACTGCAGGGCATAGATGGCACAGCAAGGGCTGCAAGTTGTGCCAAAGGGAAGCACTTGCCACTCATAAATGCTGGGTGGGATATTTGTTTCAAGGTCACGCCAGACAAAGCGGAGTAGGTTTCTGTCTTCAGCCAGTAGGCGGACCTGATGAAACATACCCTTTATGTCTCCACTCACTGCGACAGTATGCTCCCTGAAACGCAACAGAACCCCCAAAAGGGAAGGGCCTAGTGCAGGTCCGGCAAGGAGGTAGTTGTTGAGGTTATGCCCCTTGTATTCAAAGGAGCAGTTGAACACCACTCTGTTTTTGCCGTTATGGTGAACCATGTGATGGGGAATAAACCATGATTCCTCATCAGTAGTAACAGAGTCTGTCTTAAGTTTAACCACATAATTGCTTTCCTCCAGCCTTTTGATCTCTTCTTTGTATGCAGATGCCTTTACAGAGTTTTTAGTTAACCGCTGCTCTGTGTTTCTCAGATTGGGCATGACAGAGTCTTTGGAGGCATTGAGCTGCGGCATGTCAGCCTTGCGCAACAGGGGGGTGGCATAGCGCATTACTCCATCTACCATCACTCTAGTGGTTTTAACTTGTAGCAAGTCCATTGCTTTCTGATCTTGTTTGGATCGTGTGACCAGTCTTTCATTTTTGTGGGGAATGATATCTTCTTGCCAAAGTCTCTCAACATTCCGGAAAAGTTCTTCCATTTGAGGTGTAACGGAGAGGTGCAGGCATTGCTGAGGATGAAACTGTTGCTGTAGAAGGCGGGTAGGTCCTTGTAACACCCAACCCAGTCTAGTTCTAATTGCCGCTGGACCTCCAGGTGGGCCAAGTCGAACCGGCTCAATAGGGGAAATCAGATGGGGATGATCTGCACCTATTAGGAGGAGGGGATGTGCTTTGAGAATGGGCTGCAATGGGATGCCTTTTAGGTGCCAGTATTTCTGCTGGAGCATTTTAGTGGGGTAAGAGTGTTCAGCCAAACTTAAATGCTCAGAGGTAAATGCGTTCTGGATTTGGTAGCTCTTTTCTGGCTGTACCATTGAACGTACACTAAAGGAAACGGAGGCCCCATGAAGTTTCTTGACATCTTGTCGAATTGTTCTTAATGCAAGGTCCTCAGTCTGTCCTTTAAGCCCTAGTTTCTGAGCTGCAGCTGGAAGTAGCATGGTTCTTTCTGATCCGTCATCAAGTACTGCATAGGTGTTCAGGGTTTGATTCTTGTGTTGTAAGACAACAGGAACAACTTTCAGCAGAACATTTTTGGAACTTTCAGGCCTGTCCAGGTACAGGGACTCATTTGTGGAACTCACTAGGCAGGTACCCTCTGTCTGAGACCGGTTGTTAACTTCGTGAAGGATTTGAAGGTGTTTCCCATTACACAGGTGGCATGGCTTTCTCAGGGTGCAATTTTTTGCTAAATGTGACCGTCCACATTTCCAGCAACGGTTGTTGTCTTTGATCCATTTTATCATCTCCTCTCTGCTGAATTTCTGGAAGGTAAGACACTGGCTAAGAAAATGCTCTGTACTGTCACAGTAAGGGCACAACACTATCCTTTGCTCAGATCTCTGTGCTGTGTTGGTTGTCTTGAAGGATGGCAGTACCTGTGTAGCTGTGTCAGGGTTTTGATCAGCTCCATGAAGAACAGTGGCGAATCTGGACTTAACTACAGGGCCTGATCTTGGTTGAACCGTTTTCCGTCTTTGCTCCTTTCTTGAATTTAAATCATCACAGTCTTGGCACCAGGATTCAAACTTGAGCCACTCAGCCAGGTCCAGTAGAGTGTAGACTACTCCAGATTGATAAGGCATGTGTCGTCTGAATGATGCACGTAAATCTGGAGGGAGTTTAGTGAGCAGACGGACTACATGTGACCCACACTGTAACTCCACATTACCTTCAGGACCCAATGTCCTCAGTAGACCCACAAGAGCTTGGATTTGAAGGGCAAACCTATCGAAACTGGACAAATCTCCAGGCTGAACATCAGGAGCATCCATCACTGCTGCTATTTTCGTTAGGGCCAACTGGTGAGGTCTTCCAAATCTGTCAGTAAGTGCAGTCATAGTGTCTGTGTATGGCCAAGGGGAATTGAGGAATGAGTCAGCAATTAGGCGTGCTTCTTCAAACTTCAGGTGATCTAGAAGGACTTGATATTTAAAGAGCTCTGTTGCATCATTAGGAAGTAGATTGTCAAGGGCTAACTTTAAACGAGCGAACTCGCTTGGGTCTCGACGTGTGAAACATGGAATTGTCGGTTGTGGGCCCCTGTAGGATGTCTCTGGACATATAGTACTATAAGGCCCCCCCTGTGCTGTAATCATGTGAACTTGAAAGTGGAGAGTCGGGAGGTAATATCTCAGACTGGTATGTCATTGCACTTTGCTGTGGTACCCCTTCTGGGACAAGTGAATGATGCATTGGATGTTGGACTTCATAGTCTCTGAGATAAACTGGAGGCTGGGTTGTACGTCGTGGGCGCACACTCTGGTGGAAAGGCTGCTCTGACATCCTGTCTCTGTGGTAAGCACACATCCGGCTCGAAGGACCACAATGTAGAGGGGTTTTGGCTAATGTGCTGATCAGGTGATTGTGCTCGCCCCAGGGTGTCAATCAAAACACATCACAGGATTCAGAATCTTCTCATCTTTACTTGGTATTAGTGTGTATATGTTTGTGTGTGTGGTATTTTATCATGAACGCACACACAGAAGATAAACACTGAAGGTTAAGATACAGGAAGATATGATGCCCGTTCTTCTCTTGACTCCACTTGCTAGCTATTCAGGAAGTTTTTTAATTCGCCACCTAACGTCATATCAGCGTCACCAATAAGTTCGTCGGTGATTGGTTAGATCTCCTTAACACTGCCTCTTTTCGTTTAAATTTAAAAATATTAAACATATTCCAGGCAATGTATTGCATATTGCATTGGTACAAATGTTGCAATAAACAACATTACAGATGATCGATCTTGTAATAAAATAAAATAAATGACAAAACTATCTATTTTTGTTGAATTTCAGTTTTATCAACAATAGCCATTATAAAAGTATAAGTAAAAGGTACAAAAAGATATACAGTAAAGCTTTAATAACATAAAGCAAACAATTCAGTCAAATATACAAATTCAGCGCTCAAATATATGAAACTTCACTAAGCCAAATAATTGCTTACCGAACCGAACTGTACCGTACAGTACCGCTCAGTGGAAACGAGCCATAAGTTACGTGGTCTAAAAAAATGTGTATATATCATAGACGTAGGACCATAAAATGTTTGTCCAATCAGTAAATTAGGTCCAGGTTAATAATCTTTTCTTGATAAAAGGAAGTATATGTACTTTATTTTATTTGTTTGCGGTGATTCTGACCTACCGACCTTCCAAGGAAGTGACAGGAAGGCAGCTGTTCACCACAATTCAAAGGGAATTATGCTTCAAACTAGAAAAAAAGTAATTCTCTCTCTAAAAAAAAAAAGTTTATTGTGCTGCCTCAGTGCAGTTTTTATACTTCTGTCATTTTTTCAGGTAAAAAAATAAAATAAAATAAAAAATTGGCTTCTGCAATGTGACAAACTCTCACCAATAGTTAGTTTTATTAAGTTTGTTCTCATGTGATAAAACTCGCCCATCAACTGTAAATATATGGTTGTGATCATTAAAGATAAGATGGTGAAGAGTTGATTGAAGTGAGTTCACAGACTCTTCTTGGCTAATGCATAAGTGCATAAAATCATTGAAATGAAACGAAGAGCAAGTTGATGCTTCTCAGATTTGTTTCCCGAGAAAGACTCATCTCACCTAGTTCATCTCAACGATTTCTCATAATGCACTCAAATTTGCCAAGAGTCTGTGAACTCATTTCAATCAACTCATCACCATCTACTTATCTGTAATGATCACTCAATCACAACCATAATATTTACAGTTGGTAGGGGAGTTTGATCACATGAAAACAAATTTATTCAAACTAATTATTGGTGAGAGGTTGTCACATTCCAGAAGCACAAGAAGTTCGGGACTGATTTGTATACTTTTCATTCTCTTTTAAATATGCTGTTCCTAAAGGATTACTGAGGTAACCAAATAGGCTCAAATGACAACGACCGTTTGGGTAAAAAACGACATAGCCTATACATATTCAATGTCAAAATATATTTCTTAACTTCAGTTAATTAATGACTAAAGTTATAGTTTAATACGGGATTGGTTTGCTTGTACAGTGTTAACAGAGATTCAAGAATTGAAAACAAAAACAGAAGATAAATAGGCCTAGGCTATAAAAAATATTTGTTGAAAAAGGCAGGCAGAACTCATAGGCCTATGCTATAGCCTACATCTTTAGACGTCAGCTCCGGTCTCCTGTAGGCTACTGCTTTTACAACAACAAAATTTGAGTTAACCTATCTAATATAGCCAACTATATTATGTAATAAAATGTGTAGTTCCGATTCTAAATTCTAAATGGATAAACCATAGGGATAAACGCGTTGGAAGTCGTAAACAACGATGAATCCGTAAGTGCACCGCACATTCGCCACATTTGGCAACCACCAAAGAACAATTAATTGGCGGGAGAATAGTTTTTTGTTATTTAAATAATTAAAATGAACATTTATTGAACGTGTTTTATTTATACCATATTTTGGTTATCAAGGTTTTATAGCAGCAAGGTGCAGTGGGCTTCATAAAATCACGGTATGGTAACGTTAGGCTAACTCACGTCTACTGGCTTGTTTTAATTGTGATTCCTCCCAATGTAATCGTGTTCTTCTCTCACACACCTCACTATACAGTTACTGTAGTGTAATCTCTCAAGCAAGTTTGATAAAGTCGCGAGACTCTTCTCCGCCCCCAGCAGTAAAAGTAACGTAAAGTATGTGAGCAGTGCGAGCGCTTCATTCTACCTGCTGATCACGCGCTGATCAAATCATGGGCAAATCTCAGTCGAGACGCTGCTGCCTGTGCGTACTCGCTTTACTGTCCTCTGTTGCAATTATCCGCATTTGCATAATTTTAGCAACCAAACAGAGATGCGCCTTCACAAACGCTGCTGTTGCTGCGGACTCTCTCATGTGCTCCGATGTCGGAAGGTAAGACATGTGATGCTTATGATAATTAAGATCCGAACCTTTCAGCATTAAAACTATTTTATTAATACATAATTGACTCGCTTAAATACAGTACAGCTCCAGTGCAAGTCAAGTAGTGGAGAGTTGAGCTATAATATTGGCACCTTTCCCTTTGTTCTAATTATAGAGTGTTAATATAGGAAACCATGCTGTAAGTATTCCAAACAGTGATCCACAATGAACAATGCAAGAGAGATAATCAGTTTAAGAGATTAGATAATGCAACCTCGCAAGTTTACAGGTGGTTGGACACACACTTGAGTTTGGATACTTGGACCAAACATTTTGGTCTTTCGCTCGCTTACCTCAGCCGTTAGGAGCTCAACACATCTGTCTCGCATGCACGCACGCTCTAGATTACAGGATATTTTTAACTAGTTACCGTAAACTAGTTAAAATATCCTGTAATCTAGAGCTTCTAGTCGATCACGAATGGCTCAACTGGTAGATCTATAGATAAAACTTATCTTTCAGGCATTTGACCGACCGGGTTGACAATCAGCGTGAGAAATCGGGGGTGTGGTGAGAGCGTGAGATTGAGTCTCACGCTGAATGCAGCCCTTATCTTCTTGTGTGTATATATATACACACAATATATATATATATATATATATATATATATATATATATATATATATATATATATATATTGCACTGACTGCTCTAACATCTGCATCTTAAATGCACTTTAACATAACTTGGGCTATATAATACTTTTATATGCTCGTATATATATATTTATACTTAATATATTATATTGTGACATAAAATTGTGTGTGTGTGTGTGTGTGTGTGTGTGTATATAATTGAAAAAATTACCAACATTATTCTACATTTGAATTAGAATGGGTCTGTCCAGACAATTGTGTGCATGCAATCTTGTCATTTGATTTCAGATGCTGTCTGTTTGAAATATTTCTGCACCACTTGAACCCTGAGTGATGATGTGAAACCATGTCCAAGATCTTTCTTTTTTTCTCGAGCACTGATCAAACTGACAAACAGATCAAACTCCTGCCAGTCGAAACAGGATCAACCAGCTTCACAAAGCCCTATATTGCCACATTTTCTGTCCTTCGTCCACGTTTCCTGCATTTTGTGCCAAACGTACATTGTGTTTCCTTGTTTCGATGTGTGAAGTCTTTTATGACTGCATTTCAAAGAACTTGACTTTGGTATTTCATCTGGGGTCACGCTTTAACCTGCTCTAAAAGGATACAGAGAGGAGTTAGTTACAGTTGCCAGGCACATCCTGGATTGAGGAGGCATTTGTCTTCTTTTGGATTAATGGCATGTGATGCTTGGAACTCGAATTCACACATTTTGTCAAACAAAACAACATCTGACTGTGAAAGAAGTAAAGATAATTGCGTCTCCACAGACACTTCAGTCTGACACATCGCTATGTAATAGTTTGTGTCTCACTTGCCTGCATCAAATAAAAGGGACAGGTTTTTTCTGTCTGCCATGATTATTATGCAGATAAGAGATTACATAAGGCAAGACATGTCTTTGACACAATGTCTTAGTGAAAACTTCTGTATACAACCCCTGCAGGGCTCAAGTAAATACCTTTTGCTGGCTCATTTGGACCTTGCCAAGTTTTTTCACTTGCTTTGCCAATATTTTCAATGGCCCATGAGTCAGAAAATAGATGTTTCATTATACTATTTTTATACCTATTTTCTATAAACAGTTACTACATTTTACAATTTCAAGTCTCAAATGAATCTAATTTTTGACTGAGCCTTGTTTCTACCCATTTTTTTTCTTGTCTATTCTGATGGAGTTTGGGTTCCTTGCCTCTGTCGTCTTTTGAATTGAATTGAATTGAATTGAATTGAATTGAATTGAATTGAATTGAAATATCTTTAATGTCCCCTAGGGGCAATTTAGTTCACAGCTGATAGCCAACATATACACATTCACACACAAACAGATAAAAACATGAGATAATAAATAGATAAAAACATAAGAACATATACCTATAGGTTGTTGAGAAACCCAACAGCTAATGGTACAAATGATTTTAAATATCTGTTGGATCTGGCGCGTTTTCAGTAGGTATACCTCCTTCCTTATGGTAGGAGGCAGAACTCAGTGTAGTGGGTGAGTGATGTTAGCTAAAATGGCCATTGCCCTCTGTGTAGCTCTGGCCTTGTACGCTCAATGCTGTTCAGATCAGTACCAATTATCTATTGGTACTGATTATCAAATTATCTATATTTTGGCTTGCTTAGTTGGGGACACTTAGTATTCGGCAATATTATTAAGTTGACTGCACTGACACATGGATGAGAATTGAACCGAGCTGGATGATGACATCACTGTTTTCTCCAGAGCTGTTTTATAATTAAGTGTGTTTATGAGTTTATGAGAATTAAACTCATTACATAATTGGTTAAAGGGATACTCCACCCAAATCATTTACTCACCCTCAAGTTGTTGCAAACCTGTATGAGTTTCTTTCTTCTGCTGAACACAAAGGAAGATATTTTGAAGAACGATTGGAACTTTGGCACCATTGACTTCCATAGTATTTTTCTTTTTCTACTATGGAAGTCAATGGTGCCAAACAACTGTTAGGTTCCAATCATTCTTCAAAATATCTTCCTTTGTGTTCAGCCAACATGAAAGAAACTCATACAGGTTTGCAACAACTTGAGGGTGAGTAAATGATGACAGAATTTCATTTTTGGGTGGAGTATCCCTTTAACTTTACACATAACCAAACTGAATTAACACTGAACTTATTTCAACTGAACAATGACTATTGTCTTTTTTTAGCAGAATTGAATTCTGGTTGCATCATTGAATCATTATGTTTCTGTTTATAACTACTTTAAAACAATCTGTATTGTGTAAAGTGCTATATAAATAAAGGTGACTTGACATTACTTGATTTAGGTATGAACTTGCAGATGTTTATGCTAATGAATTTGATGAAATATTTGAGCATAATATGCTTTCAAGGACTTTTTGAGTTCTCTGAGCTCAATTTGAGACTTTGTTGAAATCTTCTGAAACGGGTTAGGCCTACTTGAAACTTTTTTCAGGAGAAACATCTGAGAAGCATGAGACTCGGGAAAGGTTTACATTTATGCCTTTAACAGGCAGATTTATCCAAAGTGATTTACAGTACAGTAGGTTGGAACAGGCCTCAGGCCTTCCAAAAAGATGGACAGCTTGCTTAGAAGCAATGGCTTTAGACTTTATATATATATATATATATATATATATATATATATATATGAAAACATGACATTTTCTTTAAGGAAAATTAAGGAATTTAAATTTAAATTTTTAATTTAAAAGAAAATTGCTCTTGGTTGGATTCAAGTATTATTTCTACAATTTTATTGATTGTTTATTATGTTGTGTATATGTGTATATATATACACGTGGCGGGCCTCGTCTCCTTCGGCGGATCTCTCGAGCGCGACGACAGCCTATCCATCGCCGCTTCTGAGGACGAGTGGCCGGGCTCTCTCGACCCCATCACAGCTTCTCAATCGGTGGCCAGTGGATTAGCGACAAGGACGAACTCCGACGCCGAGATGCTTCGGATCCTGACGAAGGCCGTCGCGGACCTCGAGCTCGAGTGGGCCTCGCCCGAGGAGGCGCCTCGTAGTCGGCTGGATGGATGGTTTCTGGAGGGGCGCCAGCAGGCCCCGTGTCACAAACTGGCGCCATTTTTCCCGAGGTCCACGAGGAGCTAACCAAGGCCTGGCGCGCTCCTTACTCAGCACGTGTGGGATCCGCAGTTTCCGCGACGCTCTCCTCCGTGGATGGCGCAGCGGAAAAGGATTATGAGTCTTTGCCGCCCCTCGAAGAGGCCGTGGCAGCTCATCTTTGCCCGAACACTGCAGCTAGCTGGCGAGCTAGAGCCGCTCATCCTAACAAACCCTGCCGTAACACCCAGCCCTCGCTGGACGCGCGTACGCCGCCTCCGGTCAGGCTGCATCGGCCCTGCACACGATGGCCGTGTTGCAGGTCTACCAGGCCAAGCTCCTCCGGTCCATGGACGAGGCTGGCCCGGACCCGGAGACCTTTCGGGACCTGAGGAGTGCTACGGACTTAGCGCTGTGTGCTACTAAGTCTACAGCACAGGCCATCGGGAGAAACATGGCTAGTTTGGTCGTGCTCGAGCGCCATCTCTAGCTTAACCTCACTGAAATCAAGGAGGCCGACAAAACGAGGTTTCTCGACGCTCCGGTGTCCAGCTCCGGTCTCTTCGGCCCGGCGGTGAAGGGGTTCTCGGAGAGGTACACGGAGGCACAGAAAGCGTCCCAGGCCATGCGACACTTCTTGCCGAAACGTTCGAGCTCCGCGTCCAGCAAGCCCAAGCCGCCGCCTTCGCCTCATCCCGCCAAGCCGGCGAAACAGGCATCTCAGCCCCGCCCTGCGGCTGATAGCCAGCGCCAGTCAAGGCCCGCGAAGCGCTACCCGCTCCCCAGGCGTCAAGGCCCTCGACCCAGCGCCGTGGCCGACCAGGCGCCTCCGAAGTCGTCCTAGCACGGAGGGGAAAGAGAGAGGGCTCATGTCTCGCGCTAGCCGGACCACCCTCGAAGAAACCAACAAAACTTCCCACAGCTCCCTGTTCAGTTCAGGCGGATGGGGATTTTATTATTGTAAACAGGCCCGCAGCAGTGAGCGCGTCTCTGCAAACAAACGCCGTTTTCACGGCGACCGAAATAAAGCACAAAAAGAGCATGTTTCACAATCACAACACACGGGTTCACGGTCCCCCTTCACTAGGCGGCCCCCGCCCTGTTGTGACACTGACTTCCCCCCGGGCAAAAGCCTATATAGTCAGTCAAACACTCAGTATGTGCACAAATCACATTATAAGGGTATCAGGTCCCCTTATGTTAGGCGGTCCCCCCCATTCAGTGTGTCACGCCCTAGCCACACGAGTGATGGCCTGGCAAGCCATCCCTGGTGTGTCGAGTTGGGTCATAAACACTATAAAGCGACGCTACTCGCTCCACTTCGCTCGCAGGCCCCCGAAATTCCAGGCGGTTATCGAGACATCGGTGAGAAGCGGCGTGGATCACGTGCTTCGCACCGAAGTTCAGGAATTATTAGCAAAAGGAGCGATAGAGTCAGTCCCTCCCGCGCTAATGTATTCGGGGTTTTACAGCCGCTATTTTCTAATTCCAAAGAAAGACCCATACTAGATCTGAGGCGTTTGAACAGGGCTCTCATGAGACGGCCGTTCAGAATGTTAACACTCAAACAAATTCTCGCGCAAGTTCGCCCGGGGGACTGGTTTGTTTCAATGGATCTGAAAGATGCATACTTTCATATTCAGATCGACCCTCGTCACAGGCCATTTTTGAGATTCGCCTTCGAGGCGAGGGCATATCAACACACCGTTCTGCCGTTCGGTCTGGCTCTGGCACCCCGTACATTCACGAAGTGTATGGATGCAGCGCTCTCCCCGCTGAAAAGCCAGGGAGTGCGTGTGCTGAATTATCTCGACGACTGGCTGGTGCTAGCGCAGTCGAGAGATGAACTAATAGTTCACAGGGATTTGATTCTCAGCCATTTAAAATGCCTGGGTCTCACAATCAATGTTGCCAAAAGCGAACTGAACCCCAGCCAGACTGTGGTCTTTCTGGGCACGGTTTTAGACTCGGTGACAATGAAAGCGCGGCTCACTCAAGAGCGCGCGCACTCTGTGCAGACACTGGTAGCCGCATTCAGGGCGCGCGAGCAGATTCCCTGGCGGGCTCAGGGCTGGTACCGCAAGGGGGTGACCATGGGGATAGTTTCCAGGAGGAAGGTGGTTTTTACAGACGCATCCAACATGGGTTGGGGAGCGCTGCACGAGGGCAAACCTGCCTCCGGCCTCTGGTCGAGCACGGAGCAGAGCTTACATATCAACTGTCTGGAAATGAAAGCAGTTGGTTTGGCCCTGGAAGCTTTTCTGTCAAACCTCAGGGGTCACCACGTCTTGGTCCGTACGGACAATGTGTCTGTGGTGGCCTACATAAATCGCCAGGGCGGCATCAGGTCAGGCAACCTGTATGCTATGGCGAGGGACCTCCTCATGTTGGCGCAGGCCAATCTGAGCTCTCTGAGAGCAGCGCATGTCCCGGGCGTCCAGAATGTGGGCGCGGATATGCTCTCAGGGGGCAACACTCCCCTAGGCGAGTGGTCCCTGAACCCTCAGACGGTCGGACTAATATCTGAGAGGTTCGGCGAGGCCGAAGTCGACCTTTTCGCCTCGAGAGCCAACACCCACTGCAGGGTGTTCTTCTCGAAAAACAGGGATGCGCTGGCTCATCTCTGGCCCAGCCGCCCCCTTTATGCGTTTCCCCCCGTCTCGATGATCCCACAAGTTATCGAGCGGGACAGGGAAAGCGGATGCCCAGTCCTTCTGGTGGCTCCTCTCTGGAAATCCAGACCATGGTTTCCGGAACTGGTTCAGTTGTCAGACACGACCCCCTGGCCTGTTCCGATGAGGAAGGATCTCCTCACACAGGCCAACGGAACGATATGGCATCCCCGACCCGATTTATGGGCCCTCCATGTGTGGCCCCTAAACGGGTATCCGGGGACCTTCCTGACAGGGTCTTAAGCACTATCTCTGAAGCAAGGGCCCCGTCTACTCGGGGCCTTTATGCTTTAAAGTGGTCGGGTTTCTCCAGCTGGTGCTCGAGAAATCGTATTGACCCAGAGTCATGTGAGGTTTCGGTGGTGCTCTCTTTCCTGCAGGAGCTACTGGACGCGGGCCGCACCCTGTCCACGCTCAAAGTGTATGTGGCAGCCATCGCAGCGCATCATGCTCTGGTGGCTGGCCAATCATTAGGAAGGAATGACCTGGTGGTAAAATTTCTGAAGGGTGCTAGGAGGATTAACCCCTCCAGGCCCCCTTCGGTGCCACCTTGGGACCTCTCCACGGTCCTTAGGGCCCTGAGGGGACCACCTTTTGAGCCTCTCCAGTCGGTTGATCTAAAACCACTTTTGCTAAAGACTGCTCTCCTGTTGGCATTGGCATCTATCAAGCGAGTGGGAGATCTGCAGGCCCTGTCTGTGAGTCCTGCATGTTTGGAGTTTGGATCGGATGAATCCAGAGTCATTCTCAAACCCAGGCAAGGTTACGTACCCAAGGTGCTCTCAACGCCGTTTAGAGCACAAGTTATTACGCTATTAGCCCTTCCCCCTTCTGCCGAGGATGGGGAGGTTAATCTTCTCTGCCCTGTCAGGGCGTTGAGAATCTATCTGGAGCGTTCTGCGTCTTTTAGACAATCAGAACAGCTGTTTGTCTGCTTTGGGGGCCGATCTAAGGGTGATCCAGTCCCTAAGCAAAGACTGTCTAGATGGATAGTGGATGCCATCTCTTTGGCCTACACCGCAGTGGGTCAGGTTTGCCCTATAGGTGTCAAGGCCCATTCGACCAGAGGTATGGCCTCGTCGTGGGCTTGGTCATCTGGTTTTCCCATTCAAGATATTTGTGATGCGGCCGGCTGGTCCTCGCCTTCCACATTTATGAAGTTTTATAATATGGAGGTACCTTCCCTGCAGGCGAAGGTGCTTTCGGTATGATTGAGACCTGACAGTGGCTGGTCTTATCTACAAAAATTACTGTGCATAATCACATACATATTATATAAACCCGCTTCGGCCGGTAATAAAGTTATACTAATAATCCCGACGGTGTCTGGTTTTGTTAGTATATTCTGTTAGTTGTTACTGACTTTATATATATATTATTCAGACCCGACTGTGTCTGGTCTGTTATATATACATGTATATGCATATGTTATTGGGTTCTGGCTTGTTCTGTTAGCTCAGGGGTCCTGAGTTGCAGTGCAACCAGTTACTCAGGGTGCGGCGTTTTTGCATGGCGTCCCCACTGCGTATAGCTACGCAATACGAAGTGACCGTTCGAAAGGGAACTACTCGGTTACTAGCGTAACCTCAGTTCCCTGAGAGAGGGAACGAGTATTGCATAGCCGGCCGCACTATGGTAACTGGTGAAGTGGTCGCTTCAGTCGTATAAACCTGCTATAATGGCGAATTCGGGGGTCTATATAGGCTGGGCCACGCCCCTTCGACGGGCTCTGACGTTGGGCTAACTCATTGGTCATGCGTCAGATTCGCCCGCGCCATTGGATGTGCAGTTGCTGCAGCACAGCCTATGAGCGTGCCAGATGCTCAGTGTGCTAGCTGTGCAGCTGCAAATGCGTTTTACATATAAATGGTAAATGGTAAATGGACTGCATTTATATAGCGCTTTCACAGACCCAATGGCCACCAATGCGCTTTACATTTGCCTCACATTCACCCATTCACTCACTCATTCATACACCGACGGGCGACGGCAGCCATGCAAGGCGCCATCCAGCTCGTTGGGAGCAGCTGGGGTTAGGTGTCTTGCTCATGGACACCTCGACACTTGGTCAGGTGGAACCGAGGATTGAACCACCAACCTTCCGGTTTGTAGGCTTCAGTAAATCGAGGAAAAGGAGTTTCCCCACTGCGTATAGCTACGCAATACTCGTTCCCTCTCTCAGGGAACTGAGGTTACGCTAGTAACCGAGTAGTTATTTAAGGTGTCTCAACTGTACCCAGTCTACAAGAGTAACGTTATAACATGACTTTCAACATAATCAAATGTATTTTATTTTTCTCACTAAGTAAAACAGTTCTACCCCATCAATACCCCAGCATTACCCCACAATTTTACTTTGTCAAAGTGTCATAAGCAGAAATTCAGTATTTGCAGCTGTTTCATTATAATGAAATAAAGTATAATGTGATTTTAAGTGATCAAACATTACTGTAACAAAGTTCAGGGAAGAAGGAGGCGGGCGTTAAACGTAACTTTAATAGTAAAAAAAACATAAACAACAAAACAAAAGGAGCGGCTGACTGCGACTTATAAGCATGTTAAAAACGTCCCATCTGAGTCCTGTCGGAGTTACGTTGGAGTCCTGTCGGATTGCTTGGATTGGCTGTGGAGGTGAAGATGACAACTCCCATGATTCCACGCTCATTCACGGCATCATTTGTTATTGTTTTGAATCATAGATGGTTTTGAATATTAAGCGACCTCTAGTGGTGAGACTTACGCACTGTGCCTTTGATGCCTTTGATGAATCGAATGATTTTTTGGGATCAGCAAAAAAAGGGTGTTGGGGGAGGCATCTTTGTTAAAGCTGTGTTTTGTTGTTCGATTAACAATAATGATAGACAGCTATAGCGGCAGCCATAACCGCTGATCACGAAACCGCTGATTGTCATGAAAATAAAGTCAGCACAGCATCTAAATTGAATGTAAACGTAAACATTTTTTAAAGCAAAATATAATTTCATTTTTTTCTTGTTATTTTGGGATGAAAACAGATTGTAACCCTATGCTAAAGTGGTGATGAGACATGTGTTGTGTTCACAGGGACATGCTGGTTCAGGGGGGCTCGGCAGTGGACGCAGCCATCGCAGCGCTGCTCTGCACTGGACTGGTCAACCCACAGAGCATGGGCTTGGGTGGAGGGGCCATCTTTACCATCATGGACAAAACAGGTATCCCCTTGTTTATGTATTGTGAAAATCACTGTTAAGTAAATTGGAGTGTTATAGTTATGTTTGTTTTGGCCTTTGCTGTAAAAATTGCATCATAAGGAGTCATAAAACATCATCGGTAAGGCTGATGGATAAGTGTAATGGAAAGCTAGACTTTCTGTTGAAAAATCCAGCATAAACCAGCAGGAATTATGTTTTGGTCTTGACTTTTTTATGCTGTTTTGAGTCGGTTTCCCAGCTAACAAAAACATGGGTAACTCTTTATTTCGATGGTCCACTTTAAACGCTGGACTAACTTTAAGTAACTTTGCAACTTCTCTACATGTTAACTAATTCTCATTAGAGTATAACTGTCTGCTTAATATGTGCTAACACTTTATTTTGATGCTCCCCCAACAGGGGAGCTGACTATAAGTAACTTACATTCCATATATACAACTATACTTGTAACATAAAACTATTCATATCAACATATTCTACTTTCTCGAACCCTAACAGCTAACCCTAACCTTAACAGTCTACTACCAGTCTTATAGTGTTTACTAATACTCTACTGAGAGTTAGTTGACATATAGTTGCAAAGTTACTTATAGTTAGTAAAAAGTATAATGTGAAGCATCGAAATAAAGTGTAACCAAAATATGTTCTAAAAACGTTTAGCTAACATTCCCATTAGGTTCAAAACGTCCAGTTATTTAAACATTTTAAAAACGTTTTTTTGAACATTGAGGGAACATTCCATTTGATCATTTCAGAAACATTATGGGAACGTTACTTTTTAATGTTCTCGGAAACATTTGTAAAACATTAGACGACCATCCAACTAAAACATTTTTTTAAGGAAAAAAAAAAGATGTATAAATAACAGTTTTGTGCTAACATCTGCAGGGCTGACCTGTTAGTTAAAAAGTGTTCTTAAAAGAGACAAAGAAAAGTACACATGGCGTAAATAACATGATACCATTTTGAAAATAAAATATGCATAAATCCACCAGTTTAAGCACTCCTCTGTTTTTTTTTTTTCAAGGCAAAGTGAAAATCATCAGCTCAAGAGAAACGGTCCCAAAAAATGTCAGAGCGGATTTGCTGAATAAGTGTTCGAAAAAACTGGCGTTTGAAACAGGTAAAGTTCTACTGCATGGAAGCAGGGTAAAGCATCCCACATTAGCCTTTCATTTAGACAGAAAGTGAAATGTCTTACGGGAAAGTTCACCCATCATTTACTCATTACATCATGTATTCAATCTAATGTTATTCCAAAGCCACATTATTTTCTTTCTTCCATTAAAAACAATGGTGCTTTTTTGTTGTCTTGTTTGGAGTTTGGCTGTATAAATCGCCATCCACTTTCCATCCAAGCTCAGATATTCTACTTGACTTATCCATTTATGATTCACGGAAGAAGGAAATTTTAGGTGGTATGAGTAACCGATGACACAACTTTATATGGAATTTTTGGGTTTCATAAACATGCCATTTGTATTTTTTTCCCTGTTGTATTAGATCTTATCTTGTGTAAAATAACATATGAGTATGTTGAATATATAAAAAAAATACAACGGGACATTGTGTGCGGGTGAGGGGAATTTAGAAAGAATTGTGTACTTAAGTGGACTTGTTTTGCCAGTTTCATTTTCTTAAGTGCATTTCCTGAACAGCTAAAATCCCAGATAAACTGAATATAGTGACTAATATATTTACCCAGAATTACTCAAAAGCTAGATTCAACTGTTGACGAATAATGTGTAGTTGTCTAAATGTTCACACACTCGTTCATAGTGCAACTCTTTTTGTTATTGTATTTCTGTAATTTTGTTCCAAAAAGAGAGATTAGTTTCTTTCCCAAAGGCATTGATGTAAAAGAACGAAACTACACTGAAATTAAAGCTGGAAATAATCTGATTTGGCAGTAGTTGATGCCAAATCTTTGCGTGCAGTGTTCCAATAAAAGCCAAAATATGGGCTTTTTTGTTGTTTCAGACCAGTTTCACTTACAGTACAGTAAGTCTGGAAATGTGTCTTTCCTTATTTCTCACACTTTGGGTTGGGGGTTTAAATAGATGCCTAGGCCTATGCCTAAAATTATTTTTGATGATAATTTTGACTTTTGAAAAAAAATTATTGTGTTACATTATAAATAGTTCAGTCATGAAACTCTAGAGGGCGCAGGCTGAGCAGTCCATTACATGCAATCTGCATGCATTCATTACTTATGACACAAGCTGATTGGCCTCTGCTGATCCTGCAGCCAATGAGATTGCTTTCTCAACATTTAAATAGCCGGGTTCAGTGTTTGCTGTAAGCTAGTCCTGCTATCAGAGTTCCTCTGAAACCCTCCTCCTCCCCCAGCTCCACCTGCCTAGATCTGCTACAGGATTAATGTATGTCGCAGCAGATCTTACATGCTCACAGCAGCGTATCTGTGTGTCTATTATCAGCAGCAAGTTTATACTTGCTCTGCTGCAGCAGCAATAATCAACAGCAGCAGCAGATCTAGTCCGCAAAGACCTAATACATTAACATTACCATATTCAATAACATGATAAAACTATTCAGAGAGTTGTAATGATTGAAATATCCTTACTATAACTTTTGATTTAATGCGTCCTTAAATACTGTGTGACTCCGATGTATTTTTGAAATGTAGTTCAAAGAACGCTGGAAATTCCTGACTATTTTATATTATATTTGTCCATGCATCTCACAGGAAGTCACTGGATAGGCGTACCAGGAGAAATCCGTGGCTATGAACGGGCTCATCAGTTGTATGGAAAGCTGCCCTGGGCCAAACTGTTCGAGCCCTCCATCAAGCTTGCACGAGAGGGATTCCCCATGCCAGTCTTCCTCTGTCAATTTTTGCAAATGATTAAGCAGACAAATTATAGCGAACAGCTCATTTACGACTCTGGACTCTGGTACTGTATCTTCTCCAACACTCTATAATGTTCAATACTGTTTGTTATGACTGACATCTCAATGCAATAGTTTATTTAAAGGCACAAGTATGATGAACCTTGAAGAACATTCCAAGTGATTAATGTCAAAGAAGTAGGTTATGACTTAGCCTCAGGCAAACCACATAGAATTGAATACATTGTTGTGTAAAGAGATATTTTCTGCTGCATGAATAAAAGCAGCATTGATTCTATTACCAGTTTTCTATTAAATATCTTTTTACTGAAGATAGTTTTCAGTTTCATCAGGCAGAAGTCAGCTTCAAGAACTCACAAAGAGTTTGTTGGCCGCCCTGTTTTACATTCACAAAAATCACAGCAGTTATACCCTTCATCAAGGTGTAAGCTACGTCATTACTTTAGGTTGAATGATTCTAATTGGCTAAGAAATGGATAAACATAGTAATTTTCCACACATGGACAGATAGACTGAAGCATATTTCCATCGATTATGCGGCTGAAACTCAGACCCTGAACTGCGTTTCTGGACGCCAGCTTGTCCGGAACAAGAAGTCATTATATTGTCCAATAGTGCCAGTTGTTCCTCAACCTGTAACAAAGAATACTAACACACACACAGACACACAGCTTCTTCAAGATTGGAATTGGTCGAGCTCTAACTATAAACAGGAGACTTTCCCAAAATATCCAGACAACATGTTCTTTCTCTCAGTGAGAGGTTCAGCCAATATTCCATTATTATTCTCTAGTTTGAATAGAGAAAAGTAATCCTTTAATTAAGTCTGTGTGACCCCAGTGACCTCGACTGTCTTGTTCAGCTAGAAGAGTGCATATATGTTTTAACATGTTTTATCTGCCTCTCAAAAACATGCACATTCCATCAAACAGTCATGTCATTCACTTCATAAATCTCATAAGTCATTCAACTCCTTTGATATTTAAAAGGAAAAATATTGATTAATACCTTGATCATAATCTATATCGTTCAAAAGTTTGGCGTCATTAATATTTTTTTTTAAATCAATCAATCCTTTTATTCAGCAAAAACGCATTAAATTAACCAAAAGTCACAGTAGAGACATGTATAATCATTTATAAAATATATCTGTTTCAAATAACTGCTGTTCTAACTTTCATTCATCAAAGAATTCTGAAAAAAAAAATCCAGAAGAATGTTAAACAGCACAAAATTCAGCTTTGCCATCACATAAATTTCATTTTAAAATATAATATAATAATGCTGTTATTTTAAAAATGTAAAAATATTATTAAATAAATGCAACCTAAGTGAGCATAAGAGACTTTTCAAAAACACATCTTACAGACCCCAAACTTTTGAGCATTTATATATATATATATATAATATTATTATTATTTTGGGGTGAAATAGGATCCAGACATGTTCTTGGCAGGTTTAATCACATTTTGTTTCAACTGGTTGGCTTATTACCTGAAGAATGCATATGAGCATGTTTGTTTCATTTAGTTCTGGAGTTGTTTTCTGTCTGGTTTTAGTAACTCATTTTTTTGTATACTGTATGTTCTCTAGTGAACTGTTCTGCCACAAGAACAAGACATTTTTTGGCCCAGGGGACATCCTGAAGTTCCCCCGGCTTGCAGAAACCTTGGAAACTATTGCCAAAGAAGGAGCCGATGCCTTTTACACTGGAAAAATCGCCAAGGATTTAATACAGGATGTACAAGCGAGAAGTAAGGATTGTTTGTATACAAACTGCAGTCGCTGTAATCAGAACAGATGTAGTGCTTCCGAAATACAGTTGTTGGTTTTTTTGGGCAGGTGTGCTTGTTTACAGTTTACTTTTGTTTTTTGACAGATGGAACATTATCATTAGAAGATCTGAGCACTTTTAAGGTCAGAGAGAGTGATGCGTGGACAGTCCAAATAGGAGACTATAAGATGCACTTCCCTCCTCCACCAGCAGGGGGAGCGATACTCAGCTTTATCCTGAAACTAATGCATGGTAGGGTCTAGTAGTAGACGACAAAAAAAATCACCATGGCTTTGATGCCAACAGTTCTGAAGCAGCTGTCACCTATAAATATTCAGCATCCCTTTGTTTTCCTCAGAGTTCGGGCTCTCTCCAGCCTCCAACCATGGAGACCAGAAAACCTTGACTTTGCATCGCTTCCTAGAGGCGGTTAAGTTTGCAAATGGACAGAAGTGTAACCTCAAAGACCCCCTCTTCAACTCCAATGTATGGCTCTTGCTTCATTAATACTGTGGTGCCTGGGCTCATATTATAGTCAAAATGACATGCTTTTCTATCTGGAACATTCATTTAAAAATTACACAACATCAGAGGTTCCGCAGTTATATTTGCTATTTTTGGCTGTAGTGAGCATAACATCACTGGACGTCTGTGTAGGGTTGAGTAAATACTATGAAGGGCCGGATGTTATTCTTTTGAAGGCCACACAAAAGCAAGTAATTAATGGTTGAAATTATTTAAAATGTTTAACGAAGCATGCATTCAAAGGAAGTATGATAAGAATTTGATTTCAATTACCAACATAAACAATTCCAAAGAAAAAACGACTCCAAAATAAACATCATAATTTTGAATTAACTGGGACAGTATTATACTAGATTTATTCATGTTTTTCTTGTGCCCTCTGAATGCAGATGACGTACATCACAGATGAGAAGTTCATCCAGAGTATCAGGGCTCTGATCACTGACCGCCACACGCACGACCCCTCTTACTACAACATCGCCCCATCAGTCGACCGCTTTGGCACCACACATGTTTCAGTGATGGCAGCAGATGGCACTGCTGTTTCAGTCACCAGCACCATCAACCACATGTGAGACACATTTACAGTTCATCTAAATTCCCTAAAAGAAATAAAACGCATCAAAAGAAAAATACAACGCAACTTCATAACCCAAAACATAGAACAAACATATAGATAAAAGAAATGGCGTCACACTCCCATCTTCCCTTAAATTGAGTATTTACAAAGAAATATATTTACACAATATAACTGAAGGCCAAAGTAATTCAAAACAGCAGCCTAAGAGTTATAAATCAAATGAACCGAGACCGAGAAAAACAAATGGCATGCTGCATTCGGCCTCCTTAGAGTGTTTGGGGTGGTCCTTTTCAATGAAACCAAGACTACACCAATCAGGATGGCTCTGCTGGCTTGAGTTCAGGCCACACCTTCTGCAACAGACACACCGGTGCTCCGAAACAGAAACACACACTTCTAAAAGACATAAGATGTAACAAGAGATCCTGTTAAATGATATTTCACCCAAAAATGAATTGTTTTCATTTTCTCACCCTCATGTTCCAAACCTGTATGAGTTTCTTTCTTCTGTTGAACACAAATAAGATATTTTGAAGAATGTTGGTAACCAGACAGTTGACGGCACCCTTTTATCAATTGACATTGACCACAGTATTTTTGTTTTTCTACTATGGAAGTTAATGGGGCCCATAAACTGTCAGGTTACCAACATTCTTCAAAATATCTTATTTTGTGTTCAACCGAAGAAAGAAACTCATACAGGTTTGGAACAACTTAAGTGTGAGTAAATGATGACAGAATTTTCATTTTGGGTGAACCGCCCCTTTTAAAATGAATTGGATTTTTTTTTTTTTTAGTTTAAAGGGATAGTATGTGAATATGTACACATACTTGTATTCTACAGCGATGTAGTAAATTGATCAAATGCAACTGAAAAGGTTTTTACATTATTACAAAAAAAAATCTATTTCAATATGTTTTTTGAACATCAATGAATCCTGATAAAAAAAAATGTATCACAGTTTCCACAAAAATATTAAGCAGAACAACAGTTGAAAATATTGATAATAATAAACATTATTTGCAAACAGCAAACATTGATAATAATAAAAAATGTTTCTTAAGCACCAATCAGCATATTAGAATGATTTCTGAAGGATCCTGTGACACTGAAGACTGGAGTAATGATGCTGAAAATTCAGCTTTGATCACAGGAATCATCACTGGTATTATAAAACACACACACTAGAAAACAGTTATTTTAAATTGTAATAATATTTCACATAATTACCATTTTTACTGTACATTTAATCATAATAAAGCATTTACTAAAGCATATCTTACAAACCTTTGCATTTGCAAATCTTACCTTTGCATAGTATATCTCTATAATAATAAATATTATTAATAATGTAAATCATAATCTTCTATTTATAAAATCTAATATTTTTCAATCTTCTGTCTTCAGGTTTGGGTCAGCTGTTTACTCTCCTAAAACGGGTATCATCCTCAACAACGAGCTTGCTGACTTCTGCGGCCGAGCAGATAACATCAAACCAGGTGAAGATCCTTCTCCAACTATATCTTATAACATTTTGCATGTCTTGAGATTTCATGTCACCATATTGTCTTTTGCTCTCTCTCTCTCTCCAGGCGAACAGCCTCCCTCCTCGATGGCTCCTGCCATCCTGCAGTCGGTGTCCCAGCAGAAGACTCTGGTGATTGGTGGATCAGGAGGAAGTATGATCACCACAGCCATGGCCCTGGTGAGTTGGAGTCAAACTCCATTTGAAGTTATCGGTGTTATCAATGTTCATTTTTGTTAACAATACAGCCTCAACTGAGCAAAACAGTAGAGCACGGCCCTAGCAACAGCAAGATCGGGTTCAACACCCAGGGAAAGCAAGAACTGATTAAAAAAATGTATCCAATGTAAGTCACTTACATGGATAAAGCATCTACCAAATGCATAAATGTAAAAAAATTCATAACTAATCTGTTATTGAAATTTTTACCAAAACATCTATTTGAAATTGTATTTCTATTTTGTTTTCCAACCTAATGACTATTTCTCTCTCTTTTCTTTTATTAATGCCCATTAAGGCCTGTTCACACCAAGAATGATAACTATCCATACCAGTCCAGAGTACAATATCGTTCTGTTTATTTAAACATGCTTCAGTTTGTCGTCTGCGACTTTAAATGCTCGAGCTCGTTAAAGCAGGATAGATTCTGATTGGCTGTCAATGTTTTTATCATGTAACAGCTGAAAAAAATAGTTCTGAAAGTGATTTCAATGATATAGATTCTCTTTTCTGTATCGTTATAGTCATGCTGTCAACACTGCTAATCTTTTGAATTTGGAACAATTTTTAGAATTATATCTTTATTGTTATAGTTATCCTCCTTGGTGTGAACGCGGCTTTACTGTCAAAATACATTTGGTTTTGTACTCTATCAAAGTATAAATATTTGCTTGGCCTCTTCTTGTTAAATATCCTGTTTCACTCAGATAAAGTCAGAATACAGTCAGCATTGACTTCAAAATCATAATTTTGTTAAAGCACTTACATGATTCCTCCCGTAAAAATGTTACTTGAGTAATAAAATTGTCTGTCATGCATTAACAGTCAATAAAATTTCAAATATGCGCTAAGGGATGCATTAAAAATGATTGTGGAAGTCGATAGTATGCCGCAAATGCAGTACAGAAATATCCTGCTAGAACCTAATTTATCAATTGTTTTATTAAAATTTGTATGTTTTCTCTTTTTTTTTATTGGATGTCCATTGTCTTGCTGTGTAAAAGAAATTCAAAATAATAATTTGCTTTGCCTCTTTTCATTGAATATCCTTCCACATAGAAAAAAGTCAGAAGTGCACATCACTTTTAAAATCATATTTTTGTTAACACACTAAAAAAAACGTAACTTGAGCTATAAAATTGGCTGCATTAAAACGATTGTCGACCGCATGCCATAGATGCAGTGCAGAGATATCCTGTTGAAAATAACCTGTCAATAACCCGAACCTCCCCTCGTTCTCTTTCTCTTTCAGTCCATTATGAACCACTTGTGGTTTGGGATGAACCTTAACGAATCTATCGCTGCTAAAATAGTATTTGTGGACACCAACAATAATCTCAACTTTGAGAAAGGATACAACGAAGTAAGTTCTTTGGAATTTATCATTTCCACTCTTACATTAGGATCTCACCAGGGCTTGACAGTAACACCCGCCAAATGTGGGTGGATTTCAGTGGTGTGTAACGCAGTCACTTCTACTAGTCATTTTGGCGGGTTGATTTTTTTATATATAATATAAACATTTTTCAATTGTAGTCTTTTTTAAAAAAGGCATCTGAAATAATAAACTAAGTGCAATATCGATATTTTGATGCTGAAATATCTGAAACGCTTCCAATACAAATTTTCCGCAGAATAGATGCACGATACCAGCTAAGCTTTTTCTCTTTCATCTCTCCGACAGTGTGTTACCCGCCTCCCCTCACTCACTCTGGGTGAATATTGTTGGTGTTGGCTTAAATTTCGGCGTGGGATTGAGCATATTGCGCATAATTTTACTTATTCCCGCAGATTTTGTGCTCACACCCAAACTGCGCGCACATAAAGCCGCCTCTCAGTACTAAATTTTGTTATTTTTCGCTTCTTATTGCGCTTAAACAGTCAAATACACACACAATAATGTCAAAATGCCAGTCTTGGCGAGTATTCACGTAAACACAGTCAGTTGTGTTTTAACGTAAACAGTTGAGAAAGAAAACGCATGTGTAACAGTATAATGGATCCATGCGTCAGGTCTTAAAGTGACAGCAGCCTAATATACCTGCTGCCAAATCATGAGATATTAAAAATATCTCCATGGTATCGATGTCACAATTGTGGCCAGTGAGAATGCTGGTGAGCAAAAAAGTTCATGTCAAGCCTTGGATGTCACCACGAATCACACTCCCATAATCGCATGTTGTTAGTGTGGACGTACTGATTGTAATTGGAAACACCCCCGGTCACTGATCATCGTTTTGTAACCAGTAATCAAAAGTGACTTAGTATACAATAAGTAGTAACATATTGTACTTTTCTTCTCAGTCCCTTATTAAGGCAATGAAGGCGCTCGGACACAAAGAGAAGCACAACTCATACTTTTTCAATGTGGTCAATGGCATATCGAAAGAAGGACAGTGCATCAGTGCCGTATCTGACGCCAGGAAGCACGGCAGGTCGGCGGGATACTGACCCTGCCTCTGTTTGTGCCGTCAGCTGTTAGAGATGTGGTGATTCATCAGGTTCGGGAGGAAGTGAGGTTGGAAGCAAAGGGTCAGCGCTCCCTTTCAGCGACGCCTGTACACATCATAAATTCAAACGCGGGGTGATTGTGCACTGGGGTGTACGCTGTTACCGTCCATGTCCACTTTTTTTGGACTCTTACAAAAGAGAATTACTGTAAGATTTGGGTGCAAATGAATATGTCTTGTATGGATTGGGAAGACCGGGGCTAGTTGTCACGTGGAGGAAGTTGATCACAAGGGCAATATCTCAGAAACCCCATTGTGATACGTTTAAACAAGAGTCAACTATTTAATATAGGTCCTGGTTCCCTCAAAATAAACCCAATAGGATTTTTCCATTGGCTTTTGGATTATTGCAGAAAATAATCTCTGTAACCAAACAAAATTATGATTCTTACCCATTCTGTTCATCATGACAATCTTTACAAATGAACAACTTTTATGAATTTTTAAGCCAAATACTAGTAGAATTTGTAGTATTTACTTTTTAGAAGTAATTAGCAAAACATTGGCTATAAAGGAACTACATTACAGTCGCATGACTGTACCACAATTAAGCTTCCAACAACTCTTTCAGTCTTTGTATAAAATATTTTTTCCTGAAAGCACACAAAGGCTGTAACTTATAAACACAAAAGGCTGTGAGTAGTGAGCTTAGATGAGCTTAGCTGTTCGCTGTGATGACGTTTATCGTCTCCAACAATCTCTGTACTCCCGTTTAGCCACTTATAGCAACCGCCTTTTCAAGACAAGTAAATGCTTTAAAAAAATCACAAGAAGGTATTACTGATGTACAACCCCATTTACAGAAAAGTTGGGACATTTTGTAAAATGCAATAAAATTCACAATCTGTGATTTTGTTAATTCTCTTGAACCTTTTTTTAACTGACAAAAGTACAAAGAAAACTATTCCAATGTTTCCACTGAACAACATAATTGTATTTTGTAAATATAAACACATTTTGATATGATGGCTGCAACACTTCTCAGTCTTTGCAAGCAAAGATGGGTCATGGCTCACCACTTTGTGCCAAATATCATGAGAGAATTGTCAAACAATTCAAATATCACATTTCTCAATGCAAGATTGCAAAGAATTGATGTCTTTCACCTTCTACCATATAATATTGTGAAAAGATTCTGGGAATCTAGAGAACTCTCGGTCTGTGTAAGGCAAGGCGGTGGTAAACATGCCTCTGTCACAACTTTTTTGGAGTGTGTTTCAGCCATCAAAAACAAAACTTGTTTATATTTACAAAATAGAATTAAGTTGGTCAGTGAAAACATTATAGTTTCTTTGTACATTTGTCAGTTAAATAAAGGTTCAAGAGAAGAAACAAATCACAGATTCTTGATTTTATTGCATTTTACAAAATGCCCCAACTATTCTGGAAATATAGGGTTGTATTTTGCTGTAGAATAAAATGTGAAAATATCTTAAGCTTGTGTTAAGCACGGAGACCTTATTTCAGGCATTTAACCAACAACCCATTCAAAAAATCCATTGACTTTGGGACGATGGAACTGGAAGTGCTAAAATGCAACTCGTTTCGATGGCCTACAAAAATACATCATCCCTGTTAGACTATTTGTTAAATATTTGTTTGATATTTTTGTATATGATACCTTTTACATTTACCTTTTTACTGATTATAATTTTTTTTGTTTTGTGACGATCTACTTTGATTTTTCTACTGTTTCTTTTTTCTTTTTTTTTTGGCCAGTAATATGGAAATCTTCAGTAGCTTTTTTTGTAGCCAAGTCTTTTAGCTATACATTATGTCTATATAGAAACTGACTTCTATGCTGAGAAATATTGACTAGAGTGAAAGTGTCGTGACAACTTTTTCAGATTTTGTACAAAAGAAGCACTTATTCAGTACTGTTTCCTGTGAGAGCTAATAGCAATTAACTTGAGGTAAATGTTTCTAAATAGCCTTCACATATATCATTTACTGAATCTATTACTCTGTTTTTAAGGTTGTTATTAATGTCGGGGAAACTGTTTTTTAAGAGAATCGAAATGTGAATGTGACATAAATTGCATTTACTGTTTTATTTCCTGTGAATGTTCTAGTTTTCATATGCACTTTTATATTTTTATAAACGTATTTTAATGTTTTAGTAGCATATATTTGTTGAACTTCAATCATAAATAGTTACTATGTATTTTATACTATTTTAATATTGTTTATTGGACCTATTCAGAGACAGAAGTTTATGGATATTCAACATAACGTGTCCCATGATGCACCAGCAGCAGACTACATAGCCTAACTGAATCGCATTTAAGTGCATTTTACATCTTTTTGCTTGATACGTCAAAAATAAATTGTTTCTAATGTTTTTAAATGGCTCTTTTAATTGACTTTTATTCAGGAAGAAAATGGTTCAAGCTTCTCGCTGACCGACGTCCAGGAACAGGCTCAAAATGAGACTGCATAAATCATGAACACAGGAGACGTTCTAGTCCACAAAATGTAATGTGATTAAATTCAGTGTGTTCACAGTGAGCTGAATGCAAACGGCTTTCCCTCGAAGGGAAGAAGATATGCATTATTAAAACATGCAAATAATCCTCGTTCACGCACCTGCGGGGCGGCTGGAGGCTAACAGAGGGATGAACTCAGTCCTCTTCTTGTGCTGTGTACTCGGTTTAATCAGATTCACGAATCATAATTATTACCACATTTTTGGTTGTTTCTTGCACAAATCAGCCATAATTTAGTTTAAGGGAACCTTTTTTACATCCGCTGTGACCCATTGGTAGCCCTACATGTCCACTGTAGAGGAAAAACCTGCATCTGTAAAATGTACAGCGACTGCGTAAAGTCTATACTTTTTAGTACACGGTCAATAAATCCGCTATAACATACATGAACAATTAGGTCGACTGCTGAAAAACGATGTAAACTTTATTATAAATACAGGGTCTGTTTAATACGTCTGTTTTATCCAGCCTCAATCTAGCCACAATAGTTAGTCAAGGTAGCACCATGTTTCATTTTTGAGAGATGAGAGCATTTAATAAATGGTTAACGTAATACAGCGATTGATCAGCTAAAAAAAAAAAAAAAAAAAAATCAGTAGCCTACTCCATAAAACAGTTTTTAAAATTGTGAGTTGTGGAAATACACGATTGATACATGGTTCATTAATTTGAATAAGGCATCTAGGTCTATGAAAGTGGCCAAATGGCATTTAATTTCTCATTTTAAAAAAGATAGGCCTACCGATGTGACTTAAAAATCGCATGCTTTATAGTAGGTAGGCCTATTAGATTTGGTTTGAAACACTTCACGACCATTAAAAAAAAAAGCCACATTCATGAATCTATGTATAAAATTCAGACGTAGCACTGTCCGCCATGTTGTCACTGTCATGTGACCTACAGTCTCAGTTGAGTTGCTTCACTGCCATTCACAAATCCTCTCCCATGGCCTCATGGGATAGTAAAGTGTCCATTGAAGTGTCCTCTGTTTTTGCATTGCATTTTATATAGTAAGGAAGTATTCTATTTCGGACACAAAAGTGTAGTCATGTTTATTTTCACATTAATTTTCCACAGCTAAATATAGGGATCCACACAATCTGGATTTTCGTGCGAGGTGAAAGATTTCCCCCACACAGATTTTGAAACAGGTTCAGAAAGCTGCTTGGTTTTTAAGTGTACTCTTCTTCTTTTTTTAAAACAAAAGGATCTCTCCCCTTAACAGGTAAACAACCTCAACATTATCTACCATAACTTTGCAATTTGTTGACTGCATGTGTATGCAGCAAATACAATCTGTCCTCAACTGCCATAAAATCATTAGCAGACCAATGTCTGAATCTACTGTCTATATAGTCTGTCTATACCGTCTGTATAGTCTCAAACTGTGTTCCACCTCAAAAATGTGACAAAGTCTGGTTGATCTGGGGTAAATTGTGCTGCCGCTGTAGTTACGAGTGCCATGTGACCGGGCTTTATTGTCAGCCCCTATGGGAGAGCCGGGAACAGTGAAAGAGCCTGACCTTTTCCTAGCAGCACGAACCCAACAGCTCTCAAAGCCACCCGACGGGAACAAACGCCCCTGAAAAACACAAGACAATGCTAAAATATCGGCAAACGAAGAGGCAGGGACTGCGTTCAAAACATATCTGCACTTGCGTATAGAGTTTGCTCTATGAGAACATAACCGCAGACTTCACAACCTGACCTTTAATAATTTGAACTGCTATAATAACGACAAGCTTTGAACTTCTATTTAAAGTGCAAATCAGCTTTCCTTTCCTAGATCGCAGAGGTTGAAATAACCTGCTTCTGACCTCAAAATTTACAGGTAAAAATGAGACACATAGGCCACAAAAACAGGTGTTTTAGCGTCTGATGGTAAACAAGTAGCATGCTTACCAATTATTGATTTGGTAGCCTATTAGCTAGTATTAGCGGCTAGAAGCAATTAGCATGAGAAACTGGTTAACAAAATCATTAGCGTCTCCAGGTACACCACTGATTTCCAAAACAGTTCAAGGGCACATATTCTACACTTTTGTTGCATTTTCTTTTTTTAAAGTTCCAAATTCTGTCATTAATTACTCACCCACATGTTGTTCCAAACCTGTAATAGACATTCATTCATCTTCGGAACACAAATTTAGATCTTTTTAATGAAATCTGAGAGCTTTCTGTCCCTCCATTGACAGCCTACGCAACTACCACTTTCAAGCCCCATAAAGACATTATTAAAGTAATCCATGTGACTCCAGTTGTTTAACCTCTGGTTTATGAAAAGTGCTTTTTTTTTTAAATATATAATTTACCACTTTATTTACAAAATATGAATCTTTAACGCTCGTTCACGCAACGTCTTTTTCCGCGTCAACACAGCACTCATGTGTCGTGTTACTCTCGCGAACGAGCGTCGCTTAAAAATACTTTTTCAAATACTGATCAAAATACTTTTTTTTATTTTCCTGTTGCGCATAAATCGCAAATATTTTATTTAATTCTTGATTTATATGTTTGTGGTTCAGCACACGTTACATTTATTTGTTCATTTACACACTGGGTAAACACGAATGATTTGCACTTAAAATAAAAATGTAAACATAAATGAGAAAAAAAAAAGTTTAGTAATGCACTAAGCTCTTCTAAAGACTTTATGTGCAGCACATCATTCACATTTTCACAAACCAGCCAGAAAAAAGCATTAATATTTAGCATATGTATTTGTAATAATAGCATTTCGATTGTATGTATAGGCCTAATTATATACACTTCATGCATTTGGAGACC